TTTGATGAAAGCATTTTTAACTTTCGACTTTGAGAACTCTTAAATTAAATAAAAGCTACCAGCGAAATCCCGCAACTTCGTCTGCGAAAATTCCACCTTAATATTTTTCTTTCGTTAAAACAGTTCGTGTTTGTTCACTTCGAGAACATTCTTTAATTAAAACTTCATACACCGTACTAAATTTTCAGACTTTCATGATTTTATATATCATTGAAGTTTTTCCTTTTTCACATAGAATGATAGGAGGTTTATTGAGGAGGATACTAGTCACAGCACAATGGGCCCACATCATTTTTTTTTCCAAAACCGTTTCAACATTTCCATATGTAAGCCCTGAAAACTAGATCCACAGCCTTCACCCAATACCAAACATAGTACAAATCTGTACTTTTCGAACAATTATAGAACGCATGTTCAAATCAATCTTTATATCTCGACCTCAGCAACGAGCAGTGATCTTAATATGAAATTTTTAAAATTTATCTCTCTCCCCTCACCTCATATCAAATATAATACCATTCAGTTCTTCATGTACAATTATAGTACGCATTTTCACGGAGAAACCGACATCATATTTTGGAATTCCAGCTTTATCTTTTTACCCAACTTCAAGTTAAGAACCGTTTAGTACTTTTCGTACAATTATAGTACACATTTTCAAAACCACCTCCATATCTCAACTTCAATTGCCAACAGGGACTTCAATATCCAATTTGAGGATTCTAGCCCTATCCCTTCAACCATTTCCAAATTTAGTTAAATTTAGTACTTTTCGCCCTGCTATAGTACACATTTCAAAAACCACATTCATATCTTAATTCCAGATACCAGCAAAAGCCTCAATATCAAATTTAAGGATTCTAGCCCTAGCCCTATCCCTTTATCAAATACCAAATTTGGTATCATTTAGTACTTTTCGTACAATTATAGTACACATTTCCAAAACCACCTTAATATACTAATGGCAGACACCAACAGTGACAACTACACTAAATTTCATGATTTTACCCTTCACTCAATAACAATTTTAGTACCATTCGTGCAAACATAGTACCTTTCGTACTAAGATAGTACACATTTCCATATCTCAATTCCAGATACCAATAGAGACCTCAATATGAAATTTGAGGATTCCAGCCTTATCCCTCACCAAATACCAAATTTAGTACAATTTAGTATATTTCGTACAAATGTAGTATGGATTTCTAAGCCACCTTCTAATCTCAAATCTATATACCAATAAATATATTTATACTAAATATCAAATTTCAGAATTTTATATCTATCCCTTTACCCAATACCGAATATAGTACCATTCTGTACTTAATGTACAATTATAGTACTCATTTCCGAAACCACCTTCCTATGTCCAGGCCTCCATATCTTAATGTCCAGGATATGCATAAATAGCGACCCTAATATCAAATTTAAGATTTCAAACATTTCACCCTATACCGATTTGTACCAAATATAGGACTGTTTAGTACTTTTCGTGTAGTTGATTTGATAATTTAGTACAGTTCTTACACTTAGTACACATTTCGAAAATCGCCTCCTTACATCAACCCAATTTCAAAGAATTGATTCTGAAACAAAATTTGAATAACATCCGCTCACATCATTCCAAATGATACAAAGTTTAGTGAATTTTCGTACTTTTGGTACACGTATTGTTGGAGGATTAAAAAACCATTTAATTTGTCTATACTGCACAACTTCGAAGACTCTCACTCCATATTGCAGATTTCCACATCTATTATATTCCCAAAGACTAATATTAATATTTAGTAACATTTACTACTTTTCGTAGTTTTTAGTTCGTTTTCCCAAATCCCCCGCCATGAATCAACCTAACCTCACAAAGATGATCCCAATACCATATCTTAGACCTCCAACTCAATGCTTTCCCCAAAAACCAAATGTAGTACGATATAGTGCATTTTAGTACGTATTTCCAAAACCACTTCCAAATCTCAAACCTATATACTTACAATATGTAGTACACTTCTAGTCCGAATTTCCAAAAACTAGCTTTATCTCACCCCTAACCGCCAACATTGACCCACATGCAAAATTTCACGATTCTAGTTTCAACCGTTTCGCCTGGGCATTGATAAATCAGTCAGTCACTCATTAGACGCTCAGCCATATGACCCCAAAGGTATATATCATTTGATACGGCCAAAACGTGCCTCATCGAAATAACAGTTGTAGACTCTAGGTCTCTTTGGACCAAATCCGTTTCAGGACATTTGGAGTCGATCTGTCTGGATGGAGCGCACGATAACTCTCGAATTAAGTATCCGATTTTTTTGAAACATTGCAGATTGTAACATTATTATCTAACTTAGATCAATTTCGGAGTAAGGCAATATCGGTCCACCCGCAACGCGTCGAGATTTTAGGTAATCATGAAGCTCATAAAACGCGAAATGATCATCCGATTTCCCTTAAGTTTGGCATATTCTAGTATCTCTATCAAGATGAGAAGATAGCATGGGTATATGAGAGCCAAAAAAATGAAATTGCAACCCATTTAGTTGAAAATTCTTGATGAAACCTTCAGAATACCGGAAGTCGGGGATTACGTGACTCGATAGTGCCCATTTTAAATATCAATAATCCTAGTTTCACTGCCAACGATTGTGCCAAATTTCAGAGTTAGAAGGCGGATGATTTTGGATTTCTGGTGGTCAATAATATATACTATATAGATTCTCCGAGGAACATTTACAAGTGCTATCTCAAGGAGTAGATTGTACGAAATGTATTCAAAAATCCACTATTGAAAGTAGATTTCTTCAAAAGACCAATTAATAACATATCAATTTCTCAATGATAAACCAGTAAGGAAGTCAAAATTCGGGCGGGCCGACTATACGATACCCTACACCGCTATGTATATTTAGTAGAGCTCCTGTAATAAAATAATTTATTTGAAGTAGATCAACATTTGGCTTTAGAGCAGTTAAAGTTTGGTTTCAGAGGGAACTAATATATGAGAGACATATCCAATTCTGAATCAATTTTCACTAAATTTGGAGGAGACATTTTAATCTTTTATATCAAATATCACTTCGAGAAGGATTATATTAAAAAATATGCTTTCCACAAAATAGAAACGTACGTCCCGAAATTGACACGAAATTATTAGACATTATTTTCGAAATGAACCTGAAATCGGGATAAGGATATATATGGGAGCTATATCCAAATTTTAGCCGATCTCGATAAAATTTGGCAAAACTATATAATATATCATTGTTGTCGAATGCATATTACGAAAGTAAGGGACTTAAACACCAAATCGGATGAAACATATGTATGGGAGCTACAGCTATATCTGAACCAATTTTGATGTACTTGCTTCTATATTGAATTTGGTCGTATCTGCCAAAATGCACATCACTTGGACTGATATTGGCCATTTGGTTCACAATTAATCCGAAATAGGTTAAGGATATATATGGGAGCTATATCCAAATCCAAACCGATTTGGACAAAATTTGATACACTTATTGCAGGGCTGTATCTGATATCTGGTACCAAGTATTATTGTTGTGGAATGCATATTACGCTTGTGAGGGACTTTAAATCCCAAATCGATTAAAACATATGTATGGGAGCTATAGCTATATATGAACCGATTTACGCCAAATGTGGAGTACTGAATTCATCATTCAGTCGTAATTGCCAAAATTCAGTGCATTTGGGCTGATATTAGCCATTTGGTGGACAAATAACCTGATATCGGATAAAGATATATATGGGAGCTATATACTTATATGAATCTCGACAAAATTTGGCAGAGGTATTTTCGTGCATGATGTCCAGTACAAAATATCATTCTTCTGGAGTGTATATTACGCATGTGAGTGATTTAAGCCCCAAATCCGATGAAACCTTTATATGGGAGCAAATTTGATATACTTACTTCTAAACTGAATTTGGTGGGATGTACTAAAATACAGGTCATTTGGACTTTGGTGCACAAATAACCCAAAATCGATTGAAGATATATGAGAGCTATATATATATATATCTTATCTGATTATCACTAATTTCAATAGGGTTCGTCCTTGGGCAGGACAAATATTGTGTGCAAAATTTCATCTTAATCGGATAATAAATGCGACCCATGTTCACAAAAATATATGAAAGGCTGTCGGACGGATGGGCCAACATGCATAAATCGAACCAGAAAGTGATACTATGAGGATCCTCAAAAGTAACTATGGGTCTATTTCGCTTCGTTCTCCATGTTACAAAAAATGCAATGTGTGGGGTATAAAAATAGGTTTTTCTAAAATAGCGTTTAAATAAAATTTTAATTTTATTTTAAAAAAATTCCCGGTTTTCCATTTTTAAATTTCTCAAAAAAAAATCGAAATTAATAAAGGATTATAGCTTTAAAATTCCTTAAAAATAGCCATTATGAGCTTCATATGTTTACTCCTTCTGAGGATGGCTAACCCACCCCTTTTCTTAATTTCCCATCCTTATTGCTTCTTCATATGCCCTTTTATGTCATTTAAGTGGTATACAGCAGCTGGTATTGAGGCCAACGCCAAGGCAAATAATTCCTTTCCGGTTCCCTTAATAAACTTCTTGTCATTTGCATGCGTTCCAAAAAGTTGCTGCCAGCAAATATTCTTCATGCATGTAGCCGTAGTCGTCTTCATCCTCGTCGCAAATTCATAAATACACACTCATCACATAAGTTTACCTCGATTATGTTTATGTCATACATCTTCATCATTTTTATGGTTTACAGATTTTGCGTTTTTTGTTTTTTCTTTTTTTTTTGAAAATTTCTTCTGTTTTTGTCATCGTAGTCGTCGCCGTTATTGTTGTTGTTATTCGTAATTTTTGCGGTAAAAATCCTTTTCCTTGGTTATAATCGTTGTACTTAACTATGCACATTTACTTACATACATACTCACTCGCACACACACACACACACTTTCCTTACGCTTTAAATCTGAAACCACAAAACTTACCTGTACAATGTCACCTTGATCGTGTCCTGACGCTGTGAATGTTAAGTGACACAGAAACGGGAGTTTATTCCACTGCGGTGTTGGCACCTTAATGGAGTACGTTCGTCCAATGTCGCCATAATAGGTGCGGTTACAGACTGCAATGACATGAAAGAAGAAAAAAACATCAACATGATGATGAAACAAAACCAACCAACATTGAGACAGAATGAATAATCATCATTTGAAACAAAGGAAGAAAGAGAGAGGAAAAAAGCAAAACAACACATGTTAGAGATTGGTATTCAAAATCTTTGCCAGGGGAATTCGTAAAGCGAAGATTTCTATGGTTTTTGATCTTTGAGTGTATCTGTTTGCTGGTCTTGTGGAAGCTGTTATTGGCCCCTGGCAATGACATAGAGGTGATAATTCAAAAACACCAACATCATTTGGCCTGGGAGATGAGCTATTTATTCATTCATTCCGTCATTCAATCCAAACACAGACATCATTTGCCATAGGCCTTTGTGATTTAGTGGCAAATGATAAGGACAAATGATGTGTAAGCCTACATATATGTTAGATGTTGATTTAAAGTACTAGCATTCTACATCATTTTTTTTTATCAGAAGTTGTGTCAAATGCAAAACAAGAAAAACGATAAAATAAGCTCACCAAACTCTTACTAAGTTTATACTTAGAATTTCTTTGGTTCTTCTATTGATTTGTCAGAAAATTTATTTTACAACCATGTTATACCCTGCAACACTGCAATATGTTTGGAAGCCCCCTTATGTAATCTATTTTGGAAAACTCCGACTCCAAAATAATTTCATAGAGCCTTTCACAGATGTCACCCTTAGTTTTTGCCCCGGGGGCATTTGTCCAATATTTACGCCCCCATGTATTCAAAACAATTTCACACGAAAGTTGTGGTCTACTTTACACCTAAATATAATCCAATGATAATTCAAAATGTTAGACTTCTTCCCTGTCCGCAAATCTCTCCTCATGCAAAATTCCGTGTCAATTGTTGGTCCATTTGAACCCTTAAATATGCATCTCCATAAATATAGGCTTTAATTCTGACCCTAACTCAACCCCCATGCAAAAATTTCGTCAGGATCGGATGATAAACTCTCCTCTCAACAAATAATGCTGCGGGGTGTAGAAAATTTTTAAAAAATGTACAATTCAAAATTGGAAATCAAATTGAAAAATGGCTTCCGGTAAAAAATTAAACAAAAATTGAAAAAATTAAAAAAAAAACTTTTTTATTCTCATACAGGGTGAAATGAAAAAACTGCAACCAACTTCAGACTGCTGTCATTACTAAGGCACTCGTCCGACAGCTGTTTAAATTATCCCAGTGACAGCTCATTATATAGTTTACAAGCGTACAAAAGCATTTTGGTGAGACTTTTCCAGAAAAAAAGTTATTCATGATGGAATTCAAGCGTGATAGTGTGATTTTTTTATGTCTCGTACCATCGCTCGTTACCGTGATACTGGTAGCGTAGCCCGACGTCAGGGAAGTGGACGGAAGAAAACAGCAATATCAGCAGAAATGGTTCGAAAAGTAAAGAAGTGACTTGATTGAAACCCTCATCGCAGGGGCTGAAAAAAGGCTTGTGAGCTGAACATATTGCAATATTCCAATTATTGAAAAATGAGCTCGGGGTAAAGCCATTGAAATTCCAAACAGAACATACACCGCAACAGAGAGAAAATAGACTCAAAAGAGCTAAATAGTTGCTTCGCTTGGCCGAAAGTGGTGAACTGCCGAATTTGGTTTTCTCCGATGAGAAAACGTTCGTTGGTCCGTTGTAAACAAACAAAACGATCGTGTTTACTTGCCAAAGAGGTCAGCTGAATATGTGCAACTTCGGTTGGTCACCAGAACTCAAGCGCCGGCCATGGTGATGGTGTGGGCCGCCATAACAGCCGATTGTTGCTCTCCGCTCGTATTAATCGACCGTGGTATTAGAATAAATGCGGAATATTATCGCGAAAATATTCTGGAAGGTGTATTAAAGCAAACAATTTGGCCGCAGACCTTGCCTCCCAGGAATGAGGTTCCTCGCTTCATTTCCAGAGCACAATGGCCACCAAAATATCCGCATACCAATCCGTTGGACTATTGTGTCTGAAGTATTTTGGAAAGCAAGGTTGGCACTAAACAATTCCAAAATGTCAATCACCTCAAGCAAGCGCTTCGCCGGGAATGGGCCAAAATACCACAGACCAACATTCGGTCAGTGTGTGACGGTTTCATTGGCCGTTTGAAGGCCATAATTCGTATTAATATATAAAATTTGATGCTATTTCCGACAGGTTTTGATTTCATTGAAATATAAAAATTATGGCGCTTGACTTTGTTGAAGTTTTTTTTGTTTTTATCTCACCCTGTACAATATGTTTGGAAGCCGTCTTGTGTTCAAATCTATTTTGGATGATTTCGGTTTTTAAATAATGTCATAAATCCCTTCACAGTTGTTACCCTTAATTTTTGACTTTTTCCTGTACTTAAATCTCTGCTCATGCCAAATTCCGTGTCGATTGGTTTTCAGTTGTTGTCTGCAGACCTAATGCAAAATCAGGTATATTTTAATTTTTTTGGTCCATTTGAACCCCAAAATGTGCATCTCCTAGCCTATTGTCATGGCTTTAATTCTGACTCTAACCCTACCCCCATACAAAATTTCGTGAGGATCACATGATAAATGCGACCTGTATATAGTACCCTCAACAAATAATGTTGTGGTGTGTTGAAAAACTTAAGAAAATTTACAATTCAAAATTGTAAGCCAAATCGAAAAAATCGCATGCTTTAAAAATATGACAGAATTGAAAAAAAAAAAATTAACAAAAAATATTTACTTTTTTATTTTCATATTTTTACGCGACTTTCCTAGATTTGAAACTTTTCTGTCAAGAGACCATTCCGAATTGATGAAATTTTAAAAATTACTCCAGCGGTTGTTGTCTTTTAAGCGGAACGAATAACATCAATTTCTTTTACACATAGATTTTAACTATTTTGGTATATATACGATATCTTCTCAATCAGCATCACTATAATGGCCTAAGGTGACCCTTTAAGGTATTTGTGATTTTGCGCGATTAAAAATATTCTCGGTTTTTCAAAAAATATTCGTATTTTTTATACCCTACACCCAATAGTGGTGAGGGCAATATGTCTTCGTGCATGTTAACAGGGAGAAGGAAGCGAGATAGACCCATAGTTACTTTTGAGGATCTTCATAGGATCACTTTCTGAGTCGATTTATGTATGTCAGTCCGTCCGTCCGTCCATGTATTCTTCTGAACAAAATGCAGGTTTCATTTATTATCCAATTGGGATGAAATTTTCCAAACTATATTTGTTTGGTCCAAGGCCAAACCTTATTAAAATTGGTGTTAATCGGATCAGATTTAGATATAACTTCCACATACAGGGTGACATAAAAGAAACTGCAACAAAGTCAAAATCCATAATTTTTACATTTTTTTTTTTAAATTTTATTGAATGAAGCAAAAAACGTCGGAAATAGCATCAAATTTTAGAATAAGTTTAGATTTTTTCAAATTGTGACGGTTTCATTGGCCTTTTAAAGGCCATAATTTGGCACGAATTATGGCACACACTGCCGAATGATGCTTTGCGCTATTTTGGTCTATGCCTGGCGAAACTTTGGTATTTTTTAGTGTCAATATTGCTTTCCTAAATACTCCAGACACAATAGTCCAACTGATTGGTATCCGGAGATTTTGTGGCAATTGTGCGCTGAAAATGGAACGAGGAACCTCATTTTGTAACCATTCTTGGGTGGCGCATGCTGAGTGCGATGGTGCTGAGTCCTCTTGGAATGTCCAAGATCTGCGGCCAAAATGTTTGCGTGCCCAAGGCTTTAATACACCCTCCAGAATATTTTCGCGATAATATTCAGCATTTATTCTGATGGCACGGTCGATTAATACGAGCGGAGAGCGACCATCGGCTGTTATGGCGGCCCACACCATCACAATGGCCGGCGCTTAAGTTCTGGTGGCCAACCGAAGGTCCACATTTTCAGCTAACCTCTTGGGCAAGTAAACACAAACACTTTTGTTTGTTTACAAACTGCTGGACAACGAATGTTTTCTCATCAGAGATGAGATTTCGGCAGTTCATCACTTTTGGTCAAGCGAAGCAACTCTTTAGCTCTTTTGAGTCTATGCCTTTTTCTGTTGCGGTGTAAGTTCTTGCATTTTTTGGAATATCAATGGCTTTAGTCCGATCACATTTTTTAATTTTTCATTTCACCCTGCATACCCCATATATTTACTATCAGCATCTACGTTAAGGCCAGAAATAAATTTTTCGTATATTTGTGATTTAGGCGGGATTAAAAATATTCGCGGTTTAATGGAAAATTTGACTTTTATTTAACACATGTATTATTGGAAGGCTTTTGCCCCGTCCTAAGCTCTAGTCCCATGCTTATTTCCGCGTCGATTGGTCTATAAATGCGACTTGTAGAACAACTGCAAAATCAGAAACGTGTTCAATTTTAGGTCCATTTTAACGCCTTAATATTTTACGATCATCTCCAAAAGTAATAGGCTTCTAATATGACCATAACCACCTCCATGCAAATTTTTTTAAGAATCGGCCCATAATTGCGACCTGCTGCGTGATTACAAATTGTAGCGAGATTGAGATCAATATATTCTTTCTTATTCGGGAAACCAATATGTCGAGGTGTTACATAGTTTTTGGCCCAATCAAACTTATTATAATTGTGTTTTCAGCCATAGTCGGTCCATGTTTTGGTGTAGCCCCCCCTTTTCATGTTTAGAGCTATTGAAGGTATTTCAAGGACACGGTCAGACTTTGAGTATTTTTAAATGTTTCATATCTTTTTAATTCATTTCTATTTAAAGTTTTTTCATTTTGACTTCTCAATGAATATTTTATGTTGTAATACAAAAAGTTCGATGTAGCTCCAAGCTACGATATGATGATACGATATGGTTGCAATCAAAATTTCGACCGCAAACAAAATTTCGGACATATATTTTACCAATGTTTTGCATTTCTTCATCAAGAAAGTCATCGAAAGTTCATCACGGCAGAATTTACGGTACTTTTTGATTTTTTTCCTGCATAACTTTCTCCTTTGGACTATAACAAGTGCACGTATGGTGACCACATATTATTCTTTCTCCTACCAAAATTTGGTTGGTTATAAACAAAAATGTCTAACTTATTAATATGAGTATAGAACTTGTCATAAGCCAAATATGGAATTCATTTATTTATTTAGCTACAAAATAAAATGGTATTTATTATATACTAAAATATTTATTTGAAAAAAAACCTCCCTGGGTATGCCGTTTGTTTGAATACAATTAAAAACATAAATCTCAGCTAAACCAAATCAATATATGAAAACAACTTTCAAAACACCACTTCATTTGTATTCATGTCGGTGTGCACAGGCGATTTCAACAAATCAAAGTTTTTGTCCTTTTTTTCAGAACACAAATAAAAACTTTTACTAATTTCAGTTCGACACACTTTTTTTGGTGCCTCTTCTACATCACAACAGCGCCTAATTCTCAATGTCAATATTATGAACATTTGTGTTGAAAGTTTTGTTCGTTTGTTTATTTATTTCGTGTTTTTTTGGGGGGAATGTTTCTTTTTCCTAGAAGCGAACGGAATATTATAGCCAGCATTTGTCCCATAATGAATCGTCCATGCCTGGTTTTTGTTGATGTTGTTGTTATTTTTATAAATAACATTGTTATCAAAATATACAATTTTCCAAAGAATCTGAGTTTTTCCACTTTCGCTCTTTTACACACACATATATGCATGTGTATGTGAGCCTAAGTATGTAGGGATGCCAGGAAACCTGCCATAGCTCTGATTACATTTGTCATGTTGTTTTGGTTGGCTGGTTTTTGTGTCCTACGCTTTGCCATGGTGAATTTCATATTCCTTATTCCATTTTTTCATTTTGATTTGTCCATTCTCTGGCCTTTTCACGTACACAGTGTACGTGTGTAGGTGGTGTTGCTGCCACAATCACTGCCTGAGTGTAGGTTTTTTAAATTGTCCTCTCGTTTACCTTTTTTATACCCTTCGCATGTTTGTTGAATTTTTAAATTTGCCTACGTGTATGTGAAAAATTGTCATGCTATATCAACAAATGTAAAACTTTATATTTTTTTATTCTGGTATTTATTGTTTAACTAAGAAATTTATGCAAATTTATGTCCACAATGTAGGAAAGACAGAAATGAAAATAAACTCCCAATCAGAGAATTTTCTGCAAAAAAATGACTACACAAGAAACCCATTCACTTGGGCCTGTGTTGGTACTTTAATAGCAAAACAGTGGTGGCAAGGAGAGGCGACAATTGTTACAAAAAAGTAAATGGAAGGGAAGTGGGTGATGATCCTGGGTAGAAGTGGAGAAATTACAAATGCTAAATTCGCATGGAGTGAAATTTTTCTCAAAAATTGCTAAATAAACAATCTGACGTTTTTTAGGAATGAGGATAAATTAGAAGAGAATAAATTGAGATACGGATCTTCTTTCCAAAATATGGGTACATTAATTATCCTCCATACACAACATCTTTAACTAAGGATTTGCAGAACTACATTATTCGCCCCATAATAAAAATAATGAAATATTTCGGAACTAACTGGATTTTGAAGTAATTAGTTCAAAAAACTACTCCGCGAAAGGTACAGAACTAAATCCTTCACTTTTGTTGATATAACGCCATTAGTTAATCTCTATTTTTATTTTATCTGGTTATTAAACTTCCTTCCCTTGGCTTTACTTTCAACTGCAATAATTTTCCTTTCCCCATCGAAATAACTGGTTTAGTCCCTGTTTAGCCACTGTAGAGCATTTTCTAGAGCTCCCGTAAAAAAATGGGAATTTTTGTGGAATACGTCATATCAACTTAGAATCTTATTTGCATGAGTATCATGGCTTCAGAGTAGTCACAATTTGGGAACCAAATCCAACTCTGAATCGATTTTCAACAAATTTAACAGATGCTTTTATACAGAGTAACATTGCTGTACAGGGTCAGATAAAAAAACTGCAACAAAGTCAAACGCCATAATTTTTACATTTTTTTTAATTGTATTGGATAAAAGCAAAGAATAGAATAGCATCAAATTTTAGAATATGTCACTTTTGGAACGAATTATGGCCTTCAAACGGCCAATGAAACCGTCACATGCTGCCCAAATGTTGCTCTGCGGTATTTTAGCCCATTCCCTGTGAAGCGCTTGCTTGAGGTAATCGACACTTTGGTATTTTTTGGTAGCAACCTTACTTTTCAAAATACTCCAAACGGGTTGGTACCCGGTTATTTTGGTGGCCATTGTGGAATTGAAGCGAGGAACCTCATTTTTTAACCATCCTTGGATGGCGGGTGCTGAGTGCGATGGTGCTCAGTTTTTCGCGATTATTCTGATAACATGGTCATTATTATGAGCAGAGATCGAACATTGGCTGTTATGGCGGCCCACACCATGACCGGCGCTTGAGTTCTGGTAGCCAACCGAAGGTGCACATTTTCAGCTGACCTTTTGGCAAGTTAACACGATCATTTTGTTTGTTTACAAACTGCTGGAGAAAACCAAATTCGGTAGTTCACCACTTTCGGCAAATTTGTATTTGACTTAAGACTGATATAAATATTGCAATGTGCCAGATTTGGACTATATCGACTATTTCCTATACTTTATATGATGTATGTGCAAATTTTTGGAAAATGTGGAAATTTGCGTGAGATTCCAGATATAGTGGACCGACATACCTCACTTCATCTAATACAGATAAAAATAGTGCTATATGTAATTTTGAAGGAAATCGATCATTTAAATCCACTTTTAAGCGAAATCATAAATTCCGATAAATTCCAGGTTAAGAGAAATGTTGCGAGCTTCATGGATATTCAAAATTTTGATCCATTGTGGGGCAGGTACCAGAAATAGTCCGCCGATATATGCCATCATCAGACCTTGGATTAATAAAAATATAGTGATGTGAAACCGGATGCATATTTCAGATTTTTTGATCGTTTTGGTTGTTCAAAACTTTTACCTTTTGTGGGGGAGGTACCAGATGGAATGGTCGAATCCTGCAATCTGTATATTGTGTTGAGGAAACTAATGAGACATGCCAAGTCTGAATGGAATCGGATGTTAATTTCCTATTTCATGAGCTTCATGGGTATTCAAAATTTTGATCCTTTGTGGGAAGCTACTTGAAGGAGTAGTCTGGTATATTCCATCTTTTCGCCTGACCTCGGATTAATAAAAAATATTTTGATGTGTGTACATGACATTTTATAAGAGTTATAATTATTCATTTTTTACCATATGTGAGGGGATGTAATTGATGGAGTGGACCGATATTGTCCATTGTCGCACATGACCTAGCACTCATGCAAATGTTATGGTTTGATTAGTTGAAGCAAACTCGGATTATCCCTTCTCTTTCTTTGCAGCCAATTATTTTTTTTTTATTGTTAAAATTTTGTAGGGTAGGTACCAGAAGGAGGGGACCGATATTGCCATCACCGAACTCGATCTAAGTTAGGTAATATACTTGTTGTAAGTAACTATGTACCAAGTTGGGATCAAATCATATACTCTCTACATACAGCCAGACGGGCGACCGGACGGACATCGCTAAATCGACTCTAAATTCTCTGAAACGTAGTAGGTGCAAAGAGACCTAGGGTCTAAAACCGATCCTTGGGCCAAACAAATATAGTATGGAAAATATCGTCTCAATCGGATCATAAATACAAAAAGGCATGGATAGACGGACGGACGGATGAACAAACAAACAAATGCACTGAGACATAATACCCTTACCACTATATGGTTTAGGGTATAAATATATTAATTTTTAGGGACGCCTTATGCCTACATTTATGAATATTTGATCCGATTTTTCTGGGTTTAATGTTCACTATCAATTTTTATGTAGAAATAAGAAATTAGCAGTGCCAAAAGTTGGAAATGTTTTATGTGAATTTAAAAATGTTTACTGGACTATTCCAATTTTAAGTTGACTCCAGTATGTAATTGATTCTTATGTCGTATTACGAGTATTCAACCGATAGCTTTTAATGTTTGAGCCCAGATCGAATAGAATTTAAAAACCGAAATTTCTATTTAATAAAGTAGGCTTTATTTAGACAAACACCTACAATTTTCTATTTAAATACAAAACTCTTCTGAAGTTGAGTCGAAGTCAAAGTGTAAACACTTTAGTTGATAAAAGCTTTTTATTGTTGGACATTACAATTGCATTCAAATAAACACCCGCCCAGTTCAACTAAAGTTTACCGTTAAATGTCAATAAATGGAATGAAGCATCAACAGCAGGAAAAGGGAGAGCGAAAAAAATGCACCCGACTGTAAAAGAGTCTGTTTAAATATCTATGCACATTGCAAACCTTTCTATATATTTTATATTTTTTATTTAGTTTTTTTTCTTTACTTTTTCTAAATAGTTTCCTTTATACTTTCATTTATTTTGATTTCAATTTTAGTTTCGTTTTTTTCGTCTTTTTTTGCTATTTATTTACTTCAGTTTATGTGTTGTTTTGTTAAGCCAAGTTTTTTTCCTGCGCTCTTGCCGTTTTTTTTTTCTCTCGCTCTCAATTCATTTCTATGATTGCTTTACTTACCCGTACAATGGCGCGGCTCATCGCTGCCATCCTCACAGTCAGCCTTGCCGTCACAATATTTATCCAGAGGTATACAAATATTCGTGCTTCCCTTGCACGGATATTCTGAAACTCTACAGGCGATTACAATTGTAATTGCCAGTTGCACAAAGATGAGCAGGCAGCCATAGCATTTCATCCATTTGCTCGTTACGGACATCTGCAATGAAATGATGATGGAAGAAGAAGAAATGGAAGAGAAGAAAAAAACAACGAAGAATTGTTAGCTTTTGTTGGTGGATAAACTGAATTTAAAAATACACAAAAAGTTAAAATGAAATTGTGAAGGTGAATGGAAACGTTTTACAATCTACAGTGGTTAAGAGGGGTTTTTAAGAGAAAAAAATATTTTTAAACTGGGGTATCAGCTGGAACCTTTCATTTAATATTCACAAATTACAAGAGCATTACAGCAGCTAACCTGGGATGTAGAATATTTACACCCATTAATATTTCAAAATTACGCTTAGATTTGAAAACAAGTAAAAAAGCTGTAAGTTCGGCCGTGCCGAACTTTGAATACCCTCCACCATTTGGTACAAATTTGGCAATTTTCAAAAAAAAAAAACAAAATCCGTTAAAAATTCTGTTAAGTTCAATACGACGACATGGACTTGCATAGGCGAGTTTTGTCACAAGCTATTACAATATTTAAATTTTATCTACATTAAAAATCTGGTTTTTAATGTAGATAAAATCATAAAAATACCGAATATAGGGAGGTACCATGAGGGTTATAAAACGTGGACCTGCACAGACAATTTTCTGTCATAGGCTGTAGTATCCATTACGTACTTCAAATGCGAAATTTGAAACAATTTCGGTAAATAATGTCTCTAAAATCATCAAAATACCCAATACCGTTATATGGAGGCTATACGAAGACGTGGATCTATATGACTTATTTTCTGTCTTAGGATGTAGTATCCATTACGAACTTCAAATACCAAATTTTAAAAAATTCCGCTATATAATATCGCTAAAATCATTAAAATACCGAATATTGGGGGTACCGTTATATGGGGGCTATACGAAGACGTGGATCTACATAACTCATTTTCTGTCTTAGGATGTAGTATCCATTACGAACTTCAAATACCAAATTTTAAAAAATTCCGCTATATAATATCGCTAAAATCATGAAAATACCGAATATCGGGAGGTACCGTTATATGGGGGCTATACGAATACGTGGGCCTACATGACCCATATTCTGTCTGAAGTCGTAGTATCTATTACGAACTTTAAGTAACAATTTTGAAACAATTCCGCTAAATAATGGCGCTAAAATTATGAAAATGCCGCATATCGGGAGGTACCGTTATACAGCTACATAATCTTTCGTATAGCCTTTTCGTATTTTGAGGATTCTACTGACATTATAGACCGGAATTGTTTCAGATTTACGTATTGGAAGACATTAATGGGTACTACAACCTACGACAAAAAATTGTAAGTGCAGGTCCACGTCTTCACATGCATGACAGTCCGTCCGGCCGGCTGTCCATGAATGTTCTCCCATTGATATGAAATTTTCCAAACAATATTTGTTTGGCCCATAGACGAACCCTATTGAAATTGGTGTGAATCGGTGCAAATTTAGATATAACTTCCATATATATCTTCAGCCGACTTAAGATTAATTGTGCACCAGATGGCCAACATCAGTCCAAATTGCCAGAATATTGGTACATACGGTACATACGATATGTAAAAATATGCATTCCACAACAATGATCTTTTGTACCAAATAACTTAAGGTGCTCAAAAATGCCTCTGTCAAATTCTATCGAGATGGGATCAGATTCGGATATAGCTCCCATATATATCCAACATCAGCCCAAATAGACTGCATTTGGGAATTCGTTCTAGAAACAAGTACTTAAAATTAAGTGAAAATCGGTTCAGATATAGCTACAGATCCCATATATACGATTTGGGGTTTAAAGTCCCTCACCAAAGAAATTTGCATTTCACAAGAATGATTTTTGGTACGAGTTATTAGATAAAGTTAAGAAGTATGTGTTTAGATTTTTTTCACGATCGGTTGAGATTTGGATATAGCTCCCATATATTTTTATCCGATTTTAGGTTTTTTGAATCTGAATCTTGGCAATTCCGACTGAAAGCATCCTAGAACTAAATAATGCTAGTTTGGTAAAAATCGGTTCAGATATAGGTTTTGGCTCCCATTTATATGCTTTATGCGATTTGGTGTTAAACCCCCTCACATGTGTAATATGCACTGCACAACCACAATTTTTGGTACCAGATGTCAGATACTGCTCAGAAATTAATGTTTACAATTTTGTCAAGATCGGCTCAGATTTGGATTCTTGTGCACCAAATAGCTAATATTATCCCAAATGTACAGAATTTTGGCACTCCCGCTGGAATTCAGGCTAATAGCAAGTGATTAAAATGTTGGTGGAAATTGGTTCAAATATAGCTATAGTTCCTATATATATGTTTCATCCGATTTGGTGTAAAAGTCCCTCAAATGCGTAATATCAGCATCAGATACTGCTCGAAAAAACCTCTGCCAATTTTTGTAGAGATCGGTTCAGGTTTTCCCAATATAATTTTTTTTTTGTTACGGAGGCTCTACTTAATACGCATAGGTGATATACAGGAAAGATCGAGTCTCTTGGCGTCTTATGGGACCTATAATAGAATTTAAATTCAAATAATTTTGCAGAATATTTTGACTTGCTACAAACCAGTTAAGGAAGTTTAACCGCATTTTTAAAGAAGAACCAAAAACATGCCTTATACTTGAGGGTTAAAATTTCCGACCGGAATGATTCTCGTCTTTTTATCTTCAATATTTCTGAATGTATATATCATAAATGTCGGAAATCTTAATCCGAAAATTTCAAAAAGTGTGGAAGACAGGGGAGCTTGTCCCCTCTATTTAGGTTACCTTGCAATGTATGCATGCAAAACGCCGATAAAAATGTTTTCTATTTTTAGATCTTCTATGATAATCATCTGGATTTTTACTGCAATATTTTTTCTTTTTTTTTTTGCACAGTAAAATTTTATTTTTTTTTTTATTTTGTAATAACAAATAGGAGTGTTAAAAGAAATGTTGAAATTCTCACATATTCACCAACAACACCCTATCCAAATTCTACTTTTTTTTCTCAAGTCACTGTACATGATATCTAACGAAAAAAAAAATGAAAAAAAAGAACATTAAATAAATTTCAACACACAATTTATTCAAGTGTGCGGCTGAAGTAAACTGATGGTTATGAGTGTCAGTTTAGACACACACAACAACAAAAAGTATTCGCCTTTATATATATATGTATATCTCTATATACACATTATCGGTTATATTGCAGTAATGGAAAATGATAAATGGATATTTATAAGGGACCACCAACAAAGAAACCGCAAACATCTCATCTTAAATTCTTTCAAATTATGGCAGCAATTTTACATTTCCCCGTCCTCGTTTGACTTAAGCCAAAAACCAAAGTCTTATACATATCTGCAAGATTTGCAAAATCTTCACCGGTAGCAAAGAAATGAACACAATGTTTTTTTTTTTTGGGCGAACACATTTCTGCAAATGCCTTGGTAACACTTGCCAGGCAACCAACCTCCAGACCCAGCAGGAGATAGACATAAATAAAAATGTTGATTTTAAAATGATAGATTATGGAAAAAATCAACACACACACACAAATAAAACGTTGTATTGAAAATTTTCAAGTGTTTTCGCAACTGTATGCATTTCTATTTTTAGAAAAGTGTGTGATGGTGGTGCTTTTGTTGGTAGGCCAAAATGTTTGTTGGGTTTGTGTTATTCCTTCGAGGAAACGCCAATGCCGCAATTATTGTTCCATATACAATTTCCCTTTACAATTACAATCACCGAGGCAATTTTTTGGAAATTCGAGAGGAATGCGCAAATTTTCCATAAATGTATATTTAATTCCTTTAAATTTTTTATCCACAAAATGGAAAACTACATAAGAAAAAATGTTTTTTTCATCCCCCTGCAATGAAGGGTATATTATGTTTGTCATTCCTTTTGTAACTCATTATTTAGGACTATAGACATTTGAGTAAAATTTTATCAACCTACTTCAATTCGTTCGGATGTTAGATTGATTTCCACAGAAGAACAGACAGACAGACGGTCATCGCTAAATCGACATAGAATTTTGGGCTGATCAAAAATATATATTTTGTGGAGTCTAAAATGCATATTTCGAGGTGTTACAAACTCCATACTTTGGTGGAGGGAATACAAATATTTATTGGAGCAATACATATACCGGATCATGTTTCACCAAATAGAAAAATTCGGTTGAATTTAAAAAAAAATGTGAAAAATCTGAACCGATATTGACAAAAAAATTTATGAGCTGTATCTGATAACAGGTACCAAGATTATTGTTTTGGAGTGCATATAAAGTTTGTAAGGGACTTTAAACCCCAAATCGGATAAAGCATATATATCGGAGCTATAGCTATATCTAAACCGATTTAGAAATATTTGAAGTTCTGGTATCAGAAACTCAGTCTAATTGGGTTGATATTAGCCATTTGGTGCACAATAAACTTGATATTGAATAATGATATATATGAGAGATATACCCTAATCTAAACCGATTAGGGCATACACATTTTCCAGCAGTATCTGATGCCCGGTACCAACTATTATACTTGTGGAGTTCATATTACGCATGTGAGAAACTTAAAACCCCAACTCGAATAAAACATATATATGGGAGCTATAACTATATCTGAACCGATTTACACCAAATGTGTAGTACTGGTTCTTAAGAGGAATTCAGTCGTAATTGACAAAATTCAGTCCATTTGGGCTTCGTGCATAATTTACCCGAAATCGGTTGAAGATATATAAATTTAAACCGAATCTCGCCTATTTCAATAGGGTTCGTCCTTGGGCCAATCAATTTTTTTATTTTTTTTTTTTTTGAAAAATTTCATCTCAATCGTATAATAAATGCCTATCTCACTTCCACAAAAGGGTCGAAACTTCAAAAAAATATATATTTTACTGCACAGAAAAAGAGGATAATCCGATTTTGCGAATCCTGATATTTTCATCAGTGCTAGGTCAGGTGCGAAAATTGACAATATCGGTCTACTCCATAATGTACTTCCCCTACAAACGGT